TGGCATGAAGATGAAGATGAGGGATCAGGAGCTTAGGAAACGACAGGTTCTTACACGGAGTCCTTACATGATATATAATACCAAGAATGGCCATGGCACTGGATCAGTACGTAGATAATGCAGTAATAGTAATAGCTTCCCGGCCCGCGGACACACGGCCTTCGGCTGAGGATACCCCATGCGCCCCATCGCCGCTCCAATGTGCATGGGGTGGCGTAGTATTTTACTTTTTATCTCCACTAGGTAATATATCAGGAATTCTAGATATATACTAAAGCTCATTCTCATATTTCAGTATAAGCTTCTAGTTTTACTACTTAAGATCCTCTATATCTCTTTATAACTTAATATCTAACATTATCAATAATTATATAAGGTTTTTATTCTTAATACTTATTAATTTATACTAGGAAGCAATCATTTACTATCTTATCTTGCCAGTATTATAGGCAGTAGTATCGTATACATAATATCCATAATATCTGCTAGTAGTTCAGGTAATTCAGGTATCTCCTTAGATCTTTTTCAATCTAAATGCGTTCTTCAGGTATTATAGAGTCTTCCACTGCTTCCTTCATATACGCTCAGATATAGATATTATCATCTTATTCCGTAATTGCATGTTCTCTTGCGAGTTCTACATATTTCTGATATTTATTATTCTAGAAACAGACTCCGTGTTCGTCGTATTAGGGTACAATTTCCGCATTCCAGACTATTTTATTTTCCTTATATCTAATACATCTAAAGTCAAATTCTCTCTAAACTCAACAAGATTCCAGATAATTTAGATCATTAGTGTATCAATTTAGTCGTTTCAGGGTAACTTTAACAGGGATTTCATCTACTGCTAAGTAGGATCTTCGGTTATTTCTTATAGTACTTAGTTTATTGTCTAGGTTAGGGTTAATTTCTTTTCCCTTTTTAACCATAAAAATGGATTTTCCTTCGACGGTGTATCATATTTCTGGTTCAGGTACTAGCACCTATTTAAGTTCGACTTCCGCATCTTATTTTGCTTTTAGTCTTTGTTGTTTTTATTATTTGCTTTCTTTTCTTCTAAATTCAGGATCTTCTCATCTTTTCGCATCATATACTCTTTTCTTGGCTTGTTTTTTGCTTTTGCTTTGCGTATAGGTCGTTGCTACGAGAGCTGGGTGTCCTAAGATAGGTCGTTATTCTGGTTCTAGATATAGGTAGTATCTCTTAAGGGTTTCTTCCTTACCAAGGAATAGATCTTAAATGTTAAGAGATAGGTCAAAGTTCCTGATGTATTTTATTGGTTTAGTTATATCATAACCGTCTTTGCAGGTCATGTTAATAGTTCTAATTACCATTTAGGGTTCTTTGTGTTTCTTAACTGTATTAATCTTCTTATTTTCTAGGACTGGTCTATACTTCTGGTTAGTCTTAACGGGGTTCTTACATTCTGAATCATAATATCCTTTCTTGCCGCAGTTCTAGCAAGTGATTTTGGATTTGTCTTTCTTAGTTATTCTAATAGTCATTAGTCCAGAGTCGGTGCCATAAGAAGTGTCGTTATTTCGTTTCTTTCCCTGGTTAGCATCATAGCATGGCTTATTTCCCTGGCGTCCTTGGTTATTTCGGTTATGGCAGATTCTCTATTAGAATTACATATCATCAACCTCAACGGCTCTGCCGATATAGTCGACCAGTATCCTTAGTCTAGCTTCCTTATAGAGTTCTACTTAAACTATTTCTTTAAGTCCATTGAAAAAGAGCAATATAAGGGGTTCCTAGTCCTATCCTAGCTTAGTGGCTAGTTAGAGAAATTCAATTCTATACTCCGATGCAGATTTAGTTTATCAGAGTACTTTAATCTTTCTTTCTGCTTGGCTCTTTTCGTTAACTGACCCAAATGCTTATCATATAGCTTTCTTAAATTCAGTGTAGTTATTATAAATTTGAAAAGTTCTAGGTGGCAGTTCGTCTTCTGGCGTGGTAGTGATTACTTCCAACATAGGTTAAAACCATTAGGCGGCATTGCCTTTAAGACGTCTTAACGCATATATAACCCTGTTACTGTCGTTGGCGAACTGGTTCAGAAAATAACTTATATAGGCTCAGTATTAAATAAGGAAGGTAGCCAGTCTAGCAGGGTTTCCATCAAATAATTCAGATGCATTAGGTTTAAGAATTTCCCCTAACTCTTTCCCGTTTACTGCAGTGGCGGCAAGTTAATACATTTCCTAAATTGCGTTTTAGTAGTTAGCGGCCTGCTATGCCTGGAGCGCGGCGGCTTTAGCTAAGGCTTATCTAAGGTTATCTATTTCGGTTATTATATTAGTTATCTGCTAACGGAGCTAGGCAACATCAGAGTCAGTGCTACTCTTAGAATTATTATCCATATCCTAATCGTTATTAACAGGTGCTAAAGCAATATAAGGTGCAGCGTATTACTGTGCAGGGTTAATGTGGGCAGCCATTGCATTCGTATTACTCAGCGTTACGCAGTACAGTCTGAACAAGAGCTATTAACATATGACGGTTGGTTTCCAACTGTAGATAAACTAAGCCGTGCTAAGTTTATTATTGGCAGATAGCATAGGGCGTGATGCTAAGCTTATCGAAGTGTTACATCTCTTAATAGTAGATTCAATGCGTGTTAGGCTTAATTAATATAAAGAAGTTTTATTAATAGCTAGTAAGATAAGTTCTATAGAAGTATAATAAATATAGTTTATATACTTAAGGTAGTTACAGAGTGACCTGCGCAGTCACTATATGATTCCGAGAATCACTGGTGTTTTCAAAGTGACTGTCGTGACTGGATCTTGGCGGTCACAAATAGAATCTCTTAGTCTATAATAACCATGCGTGATTGGTGAAAAATGTAAGGTACACGTGATGTAACCGCTAGGATCATAACAAGAAGTAAATACAATATAGATTACCTATAGGGAAAAGGCATATACTATTTATAATAAAGCAGCAGATAGGCAAAAGAGCAAAGGAAAATAAACTCTTAGAAAAAGCTCTAAGAATAACTATAAAAGGAAATTAATAAACCTGCCTAGAATTAAAAGTCAGAATTAAGGATAAGTAGCTAAATGCACTTATAGATAGCGGAGCTAATATAAATTTTATTTCCCCTGAAATGGTTAATAAGCTAAGGCTATTATAGAGAAATAAAAAAGAACCTTATATTATAAAGGATAGAGAAGGAGGCACTTATAGTTATAATAATAGAAGAATTACTAGAGAGATTAATTACCTTAAGGTATTTGTTAATAGAAAAAACTAAGGTATTAACTTTAATATTATCCTAGTATAGAAATACGACTTAGTACTTAGATTTCTATAGTTATAATACTATAATATATAAATTAATTAGAGAACTAGCTAGGTAAATTATAAAGACTACCCTTTAGATAAAGAAAATAATTTAGATAATAATAATATAAGATCTTAAACTTCGACTAATAAGAGCAGCGAAGATAGGCGCGATAAAGTATTGCCTATTCTAAAAGGAATATAATATAAATACCACTAAGGTAGAATAAAATGCATTAGATAAATAATAGTAACTCTTAAAGGATAATTTAAATAATTAGACTAAGATATTAAATAGATAAAACAGGTTACTGCAAAGGAATCTAATAAATAACTTAAGAATATATTACTAGAGTATTATATCTATAAGAAATTATTTTAAGAGGAACTAGATACTAAGTTACCTTAATATATAGACTATAATATTAAAATCATATTAAAAGATAGAAAGAACCTGAAATTCTTCCCTATTTATAACCTATCTTAAGATAAGCTTAACACACTTAAAGAATAGTTAAATAATATACTATAAAAAGGATATATTAGACTATCTAAATCCTTAGTAGGATATCTAATTATATTTATACTAAAACCTAACTTAAATAAGCTAAGACTTATAGTAGATTACCAATAACTTAATAAGATTATAGAAAAAGATAGGATACCACTACTACTTATCACTGAACTTAAGGACTGCCTATTCGGTAAGAAATAATTCATAGCATTTAATCTTAAATCTACTTATAACCTTATTTAAATTAAAGAAGGTAATAAATAGAAAATAGCCTTTTAAATAAAATATAGACTATTTAAATATTTAGTTATACCTTTTAGATTAACTAATATACCCGCAGTATTCTAATATATAATTATAAACGTACTTCAAGAGCACCTTAATATCTTTATAGTCTGCTACCTAGATAATATCCTTATCTTCTCTAATACAGAAGAAGAGCATATAGAATACATCTATAAGGTTTTAAAAGCACTATAAGACGCTAATATGCTTATTAAACCTACTAAAAGTCACTTCTATTAGTCTTAAGTAATATACTTAGGATATAAAATCTTATATAATAAAATCAGAATAAATAGACGAAAGATTATAGTAGTTGCTAAATAGAAACCACCTATATCAGTAAAAGAAACCCAATCCTTCCTAGGATTTACTAACTATTACCGATAATTTATTAAAGGTTTTAGCAAAATTGCTATTCCTCTTACCGAGATTACTAAAAAGGATAAACAATTCTAATAGAACAATAAGGCATAATAAGCTTTTAAACAGCTTAAATCAGCTATTATAAGTAAACCTATTCTAGTTATATTTAACCCCGATAGATAAGTTAAACTTAAAACCAATGCTTCTGACTTCGCCTTAGGAGGATAAATAGGATAATAAGATAATAATAATATATTATACCCTATTACTTTCTATTCTTATAAGATATATAGAGTAGAACTTAACTACCTTATCTATAATAAAGAATTCCTAGCTATTATTAACTACTTTAAGGAGTTTAGATATTACCTCAGAGGAAGTAAGCACCTAGTAAAAGTCTTTACTAATTATAAGAATATAGCTTACTTTATAATAATACAAGAGCTAAACTAATAATAACTATACTACGTAGAATACCTATGTAAATTTGATTTTACTATAGCATATTATAAAGGCATAGATAATAGATGCATAGATGCTATTAGTTAATAACCTGACTTTAATACAGGGATTATAAAAATAAAAAAATAACTCCTAGAATTTAACCCTAAAGGAGAATACTAGTTTACTTAACCTATTAAAATAATTAC